AATAGAACCCATTATAATCAGTGATGCTGTCTACACTGGATGTGGCGCGACACGACAAATCCCAACAGCAAACTGATGCCTCGTTCTATTTATGACGTACTGACACAAAGTTCAAATAATTTTCAACGGTCGCTTTGTCACGTCCTGTTGCGGCACAGACACGGTGTCAGCACAGTTTGTCAGTACAGTCAGTAACGTAGCAGATTGAAAAGTTTGTATCTTTCTGCAGTCCAGTAGATGGCAATGCGGTGGTGGTTTGAGTCCGTTGAATGGTGATTTAACGTTACGTTGTCACCTAGTTGGAGAGACACGGTGCTATAAAGTAAATAAACAATGTCCCCATCTTTTACTCTCACAATGAGCTTATCATGCTTGTTTGCTACATTAGTAGGGCCCTATGATTTCGACGATGCAGAAAACATGGACAGAATTGCGGAATCCATTCATAAAAATGGAATTTACAGTAAAACGCGGAATTTCATTTGAAATGGTGTCTGTAAATATTCAACTGCAAAAAGACTATTTAAATATGAATCCTCATGTTCTGCATGTTCATTTGATTACCAGAAAATACACAACACAGAATTTGTGAAAAAATATTCATTATTGTTATTTATTCATTTTAAATGTTTACATTTGGAAAAGCTGTGCTTCCTGCATAAACTTGCCCTTGTTGGATTGGCAGTAGCTTGCTTGTCCTACACAGTTACCTTGTTTATTTTCTAGTGTTATGTTCGATACATCGATACAACGTATCGCTGGCCCTTTATCGATATTGTGGCATGTGTGCAGCAGTGGACCGCGCTTAATTTGAATACAAGAACACCGTTTAAAATGGAGTAGAAAAGTGTGAGGTTTCTAAAAAATAATGAATAGAGCATAATATATAGGCTACAGCATCAACATACAACAAATGTGGTGATCACCACATTTGAGTTATCATTGCAAAAAAATTGTTTATGTATATATATTCTGTTTATGTATATACTGTATTCTATATAAAGTACCAGTCAAAATTTTGGACACACGAATGGGAAGTATGTCCAAACTTTTGACTATACTGTACCATAATGTAGCCTACACATAAAGAATATCGGCCGAAATATCGATATCGGTCTTTTTTTTTTTTAACTCCCTAATATCGGTATCAGCCCCCAAAAAACCCATATCGGTCGGGCTCTGTTAGGGATGTAACGGTATGAACATTTCCTATCACGATTATAGTGACCAAAATTATCATGGTTATCAGTATTATCACGGTATTGTTAAAATGTGCTGGAGATGTTCAAAAAGTACTGACACATAAATCACTTCACCAAGTTATATATTTAAAAATCAACAAACAACAAATAAAATGACTTTTTTGTTTGCATAATCACTAAAACAATAACATTACCAAATGATGTTCAGATTTTAAATGGCAACTTGACTGGCAACAGTTTAATAGCATGTTCAAATATCTAATGTAAATGTTAAATAAAGCTTTGAAAAAGTTTCATAAAAAGTTAAACCTCACATTTCAGCCTTTAAATAAAGAAAAGAGTTAAGTCAAAATGATAATTGATTTAATAGATGATTATATGTATTTTATCTGCTCCATAAATAATTCTAGATGACTTATCTGAATTGGAATATCGGCCGAAATATCGATATCGGTCTTTTTTTTTTAACTCCCTAATATCGGTATCAGCCCCCAAAAAACCTATATCGGTCGGGCTCTGTTAGGGATGTAACGGTATGAACATTTCCTATCACGATTATAGTGACCCAAATTATCATGGTTATCAGTATTATCACGGTATTGTTAAAATGTGCTGGAGATGTTCAAAAAGTACTGACACATAAATCACTTCACCAAGTTATATATTTAAAAATCAACAAACAACAAATAAAATGACTTTTTTGTTTGCATAATCACTAAAACAATAACATTACCAAATGATGTTCAGATTTTAAATGGCAACTTGACTGGCAACAGTTTAATAGCATGTTCAAATATCTAATGTAAATGTTAAATAAAGCTTTGAAAAAGTTTCATAAAAAGTTAAACCTCACATTTCAGCCTTTAAATAAAGAAAAGAGTTAAGTCAAAATGATAATTGATTTAATAGATGATTATATGTATTTTATCTGCTCCATAAATAATTCTAGATGACTTATCTGAATTGTTCAAATGTGTAGAATCCACACTGTTTTTCATCGACCGGTCAAAATTTACAGCAGGGCATGCAAATTCGGTCCGTTTTTGGCCAGACAGAAACCGCACACATGCTGAATGTAAATATAAGTCTCTGTAAATCCACTCTCTGACAGCAGGCGGCGCTGATGGAAAAGCTGAATTGCAGTTGTTTCCCGTAAACTCCGTGGACAAAGCAGTTTTGCGATTAAGAACACTTCCTTTAGGTATTACATGGAGCGAAGATGAAAACAAAATGCCATCTAATCGTCTCTGAAGACAGTCAGAACCTTCAGAGGTAAATTCATATAATTAATTCATATATTCATTTGTATAATTGCCTTGGCACTCTTTTAAAACCTCCCAGCGTTTCCACCCTGTTTTCACTCAAAACTAAACTGCTGTGCGCACGTGAGACTGTTACTTAAAACTGTGCTTTATGCTGGACAGTATTTGTTTATCGTGAGTTGTTCAAATCGTGGTAATCTAATACGGTTTTAATGATAATTAAAATATGAAACGGTAATACTAACCGTGGGGAATTTTATCACGATTTATCGTCAAACCGGAAATCGTTACATCCCTAGGCTCTATAACTTACACAACCTTTTATGGGCTTACTCATTTATAAGTAAATCTCACAAAACCTGCAATAACATGACCTGGTCATATTTCACCCTAAATTTAAGCGATAAATAAAGTAGTAAGAAATTACATTATGTATTAGGAAAAAATAGTTTTTTTTATTTATTTATTTTTTACCACATTTGGACTGCTCGTACCATTTTGCTAATTAAGCAATCTTCTTTTCAGTTTTCATCACAATAAAGAGGAAAAGATCATTGTAATTACCGCAATCCAATAATTATTGTGGTATTTCATGTACTGATTTTTTTGTTTTCTTATAAAGGAAAAAAAAAAGAAAGAAACTTTGACTGATCTGGAGAATTTTCCTTACTGCTTTACAGTAATGAGAATTAGTTTCCTTTCTCACACAATGGACCTATCGTAAGCCCCTCCCCTCGAACGCAGAAGAGCCAATTGCAGTCGAGTATCAGTTGCACGGGGAGCGGAACTCTGACATCTGTAGGTTTCAGCGCCATAGAGGAACATTGGAGGATCCGAAGCTCGCATCGGTTTGATGGTAGTTATTCTACAAAAATGGAAAAACGATGTGTCTGCGGTACTTGTAACACTAATTCCAGTTATCCCAAGAGGATAGGCAATATAATTTATTTTATTACATTTCCTAAACCCAAACAAAACAGAGCAAAATGTCCCTAAGCATTCAATCCCAATCCCAATGAAGACAAAAACGTTCATTTTCCGGTTGTCATACTCTCATTAAGTTACAATTTTCAGCTGCTCAAGCAGAACGTCATGACATCTTGCGTTTCAGCAAGGTTTCTCTGGCTAAAACTAACATTAAAGTTAGTGCATCCATGCTAACATATAAATAGTGGACTGTTCTCACGTCATGTACAGTGTAGGTCAAAAACACATAAATGAAGGTCAACATTTCAGTGCCTCTCTATATTAAAGTGGTTAAATGTACATTAATTTAATCGTACCCTGCGATACATGAACAGCGTTGATCCTGCATGTCATCCGCGATCATGATGACCGTAATATGAGACTTCTCCCGCTTG